AAATAATCAGGTTGAAGATTCTATTACTTCTCTACTTGTACCCGATCACTTATTAAATATCTTTGATGTTCATTCGGTCATTGTTTTTTTTAATGTCTTAGTTCAGGGTGTTCTTCTCTTCTTGACTTATGACCTCTAGATATGGATAGTCACAATGTGATTGCCAGGTGAAATTTTGATGGTGATTTGGTAGGTCCACTACCTAGAAGGCGTTTAAAAGAGCATTCCAAAAATGGCATTTTAGGATATTGACACATTGACTATAAAAATGTTAGTCATAACTATGTACTATTGGTCTTCCTTTCCCTATATAATCAAAGTGGTGATTACGCCAAATAATATTTTTGTGCTTCTTAGAGAAACCAAAGGGATGAATTCAGGTAGAAGCCAGTCATGATTCTCCTAGGTTCATTTTATTAAAAAGGCTTTTGAAAATTATATTCATCAAATACCCACTACCAACTAGATTTCTATAGATTTAGTAGTTCACGATTATTGTCATCTCCACTATCACATCATTGTAGGGATTACCATCAGCTAATAATTTATCATTGGTTAAACTAGTTAGAAGGTACATAAGAGTTGACACTTTGGAGCAACTCACTAAATTTATCTCTCTTAAAAGATATTTCTAAAAGCTAAATTAATAGGATGTTGTTAAGTGAGTCTATCCAAGAATTTTTAGTGGCAACCCAAATTTGTGAATAACATGATTTAATCGGAGTTTCTTGTGAATGTGCCAGAAGTATTTTTTCATGTCTTCGTGTACCCAGTTCAATGAGAATAGACTCATTTAGCTTCGAATGTTTTATTTTATTTTGACAAGTTCTAAAGTTGTTGACACTCAAATTGTAAGTTCTAAAGTTGTTGACACTCAAATTGTGACTGTTCTCAAGGTGATATGAACACCACTTCTTTGGATCATGCAAATGAACAATAGCTCTCATTAGAATCCATTTGGTTATTCTTTATTTTGAATGCCTCAACTAATTTTTTTTTATAGAGACCTTAGAGGAATCATAGGTAGTAGTGAGTGAGTCAGAAGTAATGATCTCTCTCACTTAGGCTCATCACATCAACCCTCCTCATGTTTGTTATGCCACTCAAAAAAAAAAAGCGCCGTTACTTGGAAAGCTTCTTCTCTCATTGAGAGAAAAGGGAATCTTCTTATTATTGTCTTTCATTCATGTGACAGTGGAAGCATAAGCATTGTGGCTGTAGTACTCCATATTGTTATTTATGTTGGTGAGTTCCTATAACATGGCACAAATGTGTTGTTGGGGTATTTCCTTATTAATGACCAATAAATTATTTAAAGAGACCTTCTTGAAGGATATGAGCCAAGGCTATTTTAATAATTTGTTATTTCAGATCATTAACATCCCACATCTCTCATTGCCAACAAATGATAAAGTTCCTTAGGGACTTATTTGTTTCTTATCGCATCCTTAGAAGCATTTGTAAATTCTTCAACAACTTTTTAGTTTCTATGAACTAAGTCACGAATATATGTTTTAACTCAACAAAGGAGATGGACATTTCAAAAAAGGCAAATCAACCATCTCAGAGCATACTCATTAAGAGTCATAAAAAAATATATGGTACTTTTGTACATCTTTAATGTTTAGGAAGGAGCATATAATTACTTAAAACGAGGCAATATGCTCTAAAAAAGGATCAATTTTTCTCTTATACAAATCCAAAGATGGACCTTTGAAATTTTTTGGGTGCCCATCTATCAACAATATCTTAGGAAAATTATTCTTCCCTAGAGGCTTCTTCTTCACCTTTGTGTCTATTCCTTCTCTCCCTCTACCAGAGTAAAAGATAACATTCTAAAAAGTACAATTTATCTTCTCCTTAACAAGGAATCATCTGATTTGATGGATAAATACACTTGGAGGGTTACCTATGGTCATTATGGCCGCCTTGTTTACGAACTTGGCCAGTTATTGAGTTATGAATTCTCTAGCGCCATCCATGTTAACAAAACATTTTTTTGCCTATATGGTTAGCATCCTAAAAGACTCCTCCTCTTGGTTATGGTATGACCACACTTATGATAGCTGAAATGATGTTAATTTCAAATTTATCTGACAAACAAACCAACGAGACAAAAACACTCGAAATATAAAAAAAAGAAAGATGATGAACATGGAAGGGTGAAGATTTTAAAGAGAAATGAGACGTAGATCATAATTTTTTTTTCTTATTTTATCCCCTAGTCTTATATCTCATGATAATCTCATATGTACATGTGGTCCTGATTTATGTATGAAGGGGTAACTTGTTTTAATGCATAAATAGAATTATTACAAAAAAAATATGATGATGCGTGACACTTAGACATATCTTATGACACATGCAAAGTTGTAATGCCTCCGTGGTATTGTGTCTTAAATGATATTGTAACAACATCAATAATTATGTCGTCGGAAGAGTCAATAAGAAAGTAGGATGTCAAACTTATTGGGGCCAAATTTGTTGTGGATAGGTAACGAATATGTTATTTGGTATGTGATTTCTCAATCCCTTCTTATAATGACTTGTTATGAGGTTTCACTGAGCTACTCTGAGCCTACCTTTGAATAAATGAGTTTGAAATTTCTCGTCTATTGTGTTGGAACCTACATGGAACTGATTTGAACTTACTCGAATACTAACTTTACGGGTTACACGTATGACTCGACATATAAAAAATTAGCTCCACATTTTTACTTTGTGAATTAGTTAGTCCGACTTGACACGTGGCAGTTTTAGTGTAACTAAGGTTTAAACATCCCAAATATTACTTATACTGACTCCAAGGATAAATTATTTTCAATATTAAATTCATGATAACAGATATTCAAATAATAATTATATAGTTTAAAAACATTTTTTGTTATTTTAGAAACTTTGATAGGAAAATATTGACCACATTACTAAATTGATAGAATAAAAATACATATGAAATTGGTATGACTTGGTTAGTTATGCTGAGTGAATTATATTAATTCTGATAAAATTCATATTTACTTTTAGTAATGTGATTTTTTATATAAATTTTATCATCAGATAAATGATTATTTAAGTTTTATTAATTTTTTTTATTTAAACTTCATAAGAAAATAGTAAATAAGGTCAAATAAATTTTAAAGACTAGTTCACATTTAAAATCGTCTCCCTAATTAAAATAGTAAAATATATTTAAATACTTTTAAGTACACTTTTTTTTTTAATTATTCGGCAAAGGTGGGCCGCGACTTCACATTGAGAGAACACATTCAACTATAATGTCATCAATAAGTTGAGAGATTATTACGTCCGTTGCCCGGACGCAGCGGACCTCGGACCCCGTGCTGCGTCCGGACGACGGTCGTGATACAGGACGCAGCTTTTAATATACATACATACATACATACATATATATATACATACATACATACATACATACATATATATATACGTGAGGGGATTTACAATGACCCCCGCCAACCAACAGGCCACGACTTGTGGTATATATATATATATATATATATGAAACTTTTTTTATTTTAAATTAGTTAATATTAATAGTAGCTTTAAATTTAATTAGAGATTAAAGTGATACATAAATGAATGTAAAGATTTAAATATTAAATAAATGCAACATACATGTGAAATAAAATATTAGTAATAGAAATAAAATAAATCAATATGACAGAAGACTTCTAATATTTTATTTTCATTTTTTGTAACATATAGACATTATTTTATGTTAAAAAATTTGCAATGGTAAAATCAGAGTTTCACATCAACACTTTGCATTAGGATTATACATACAAATAAATAAAAGGAAAAAGAAAAAAAAAATAAATAATTTCTATGTGAAAAAAATTGAAAATAGAAATGCCGCTAGGCTTGACACAAATAAAAAAATCATTATATTATTTGACATTATATAAAAAAGCTCTTCCCTCTAGCTAGAGAAGTTAATATTATGAAATTGATGACATATAGTGAAATCAATGGAGGATGAATATAGCATTTGTGGGATAAAAAATAAATAATAATAAAGAAAATATAGTATTTAAATAATAAAGTAAATAAAAAATGATATAAAGATGACGGTCAAAAAATGACTACCAAGTGGTGACATTTAGTCATGATGGTAAAAAAAAAAAAAAAAATTAAGTTCATAAAAATAATAATCAGATGATAATAGTTAGACGTGATTGTTGATAGATAACAATATTGTTGAATAAAGATAAGGAGTTATGCAATGGTGATTGATAATGCTGGTCATTAGCATTGATTTTTAGGCAAAACATTCAAATTTTTTAGATTTCCAAACTCCTTTTAATTTTAAGTCAGTGTCCATTTATGTGAATATTGATGTCATATTTATAATCTTTATGACTTAAATTTTAGTTAGTTTGGTAAACGTATAAAAAAAATATTTCATCAGATGGCATGTTGTACAACATGTTCATTCAAAATTTAACCATGTTTGGCCTCATAATTGAATACCTAAATTTGTGAGATTCCTCTAACCAAGCCATTTGATTTGACCATATAATAATTAGAGAATATTTGACCATTTAATTTATGTTTGGTAGCCTCTAACAATACTTCAAATACTTGATTTTATTGGTTTAATTCAGATTGGATAACTTCTTAATGTTTGTTGCTTAATTATATATAATTCACATTTAAAAGTTTTTTATATAATTTTTTTTGGACATTTTATATGACCTACTAATTTATTAACTGAAAATATTTTAAAAATAAATTCCCATCTTCCAAGATATTTACATATCTAACCCATAACTTTAGGGTTGTACATTTATATCATCCAAAATTTTCATATCAAATTAATAATATCACCATTTTAGTTTTTAAAAAGGAAAATATGTTTTTTCATGGATTATTAAATGTGTATCCAATTAATAAATCAAGTTTAGGGGATAGATATGTAAATACATTATTATTGAGTAGTCCATATGTAAATCTAACTAAATTCTATAGAAAGCCCTGCTCCTTCTCCCATTTCCTCCCCTACCTGCTCGTAGCCCTCGTCATCCCTCTTCGTCGTCTTGACTTCCTTTGGCAAATTATGGTAAAATCACATTTTTTTTTTCCTTCTATGCATACTGTAATCTGAGCTGTGGTTTCTGTTTTGTTGTTTCGTCAACCATTTTACTTTTCAAAAAGCGTAAAGGAACCGCCTTTTTTGAAAAATCATTCAGATTCTTCAATCCCATGCTTATTTCATCTTCTCGGATTATTTTGCTCAGCGTTCTTTTAGCTTTCCAGCGCACAAAAGTTTTCTGTTTTCCTTGCTTGTTCTTTCCCACTGGAATTAAAGTTGATTTTAGTTCTGTTTAGAAAATTGAGCTGTTTTTGTCCGGTGAATCTCTATATTCTGCTTGATTTTGTAATTATTTTATCGCAGAAACTTGTTTTGAAGTTAGACTTGCATGACGATAGAGCCAAGCAGAAGGCTTTGAAGGCAGTCTCCACTCTTCCAGGTATCCTATTATATTGATTGCGTTCTGGTTTCAATGCTGATCAAACCTGTTATGGCATATCAGAGGTTTTAAGTTCTACCATATTGAGGCTTGAGAGCAGCGTCTATTACAGATTCACAGATTCTTCTCATAAATCCAAAATTTGAGTTTTCCATCGACTTGAATCTTGTAACCAAACAGCCCCTGAAAAATTATATCGTCATTTGTTGAGAATTTTAGGGGGAAAAAAACTCTAAGAATGGACGCAAATTCAGAAAGAAACACTTACAAAGAGGCTTAGGTGGTCAACGGGAGCAGAGCCATAGCTTTTAATTCAATTCAGTATATATATTAAAAATTCTGACGTATAATATGTAATTATAAAATTGACCCTATACCAACGCCCACGCAACCCGCACAACGAAAACTCACAGATGCTTCTGTTCCGCTCTTCTCCAGCATCTGTCCTTTGTCTGTCTGGTATATGAGTTATTCCTAACACCATTCTTATTTCTCACAGGAATCGACATGATTTCCGTGGACATGAACGAGAGGAAGCTAACAGTGATAGGAACAGTTGATCCAGTTGATGTGGTGAGCAAACTCAGGAAGTATTGGGATACTGAACTCATCTCTGTTGGGCCAGAGAAAGAACCTGAGAAGAAGGAAGATCCAAAGAAAGAGGAACCCAAAAAAGCAGAAGCAAAGAAAGAAGAACCGAAGAAGGAGGATTCTAAGAAAGAAGAGAATAGTACTGATGGGCAGATGACGGCGAGGGAGCTTATAAATTCTTACAGGACTTATAATCCTGAGCTGACCACTCATTACTACGTCCAAAGTGCCGAGGAGAACCCAAATTCTTGCATTATTTGTTAAATTCTTAGTTTTGTTCCTGTTGAAATCCGTTGTGGGTCTTCAAATTATTAACTTGAGGACTCTGCAAATGTTTTGCTGTTTGTGGATTATGTTTATGTATAACGTTATGCTAATGTTGGTTCTTAAATCCTATACACAGTTTATGCAGTATTAATTTTAGATACATGAAGTCATGTTGAATATCTTAGTACATGAAAGGATTTAATCTAGTGGGCTTAGATTAGTGATAAAATTTAACCGTTTTATTTGCTATGATTCTGCTAAACAGATAAAATTTTGAAAATTTAGGAGAGCTGAAGAACTTTGATCTGTTCGGGTGTTCTATATTTTCAGCTTTGCTTCAACTTGCGTTAAAAAAATAAACTTGACTAGATTTCTTAAAACTATGTTCATCTTATTGGAGTTTTATTTGTAGAAAATGAAACTATGGAATTTCATGGCGCGCATTCTTTATGGGATTAAGTTCAGCTATTTTACAAGAAATTAGAACTGTTCAAACGTACTTCATTCCACAATTCTTATGTATTTATATATCTGACACCTACACTTCAAGTTTTACATATATGCAACCTTACAATTAATGAAAAGGTGTATATATGCCCCAAAAGTGATATTATTGAATCCAAATGTTTTCATGAATCCTACCCACATAAAAACAAAAGATAAAAAAAAAATGAACAGTAATCAATGGTCTTATTTAAAAAATATTTTTCTATTGAGGAGATGTTACTATGATAATATTAAGTTTTTCCCCTTGTATGAAAGGAGTCTACACTAACATATCCCTGGACATTTACATGTATAGGAGTGTCATTTAGCTATTTTCTGGAGCGGTTGTCTAAGCTTAGTTGGTTTTAGTTAGATGTGATATGTTCGGTCTACTAAGCTTAATCGGCATGTGTCCCTCAGTGAATCTAGCCCGATTGTCAATCTTAGATTCATGTTGAGATGCCTTTCAGGCATCCATGAGATGGATGGAAATATTGTGGAACTAGGTCTTTTCTTGAATCGGCTCTATTGGATGGTAGACTATCGTATCAGGTTGACTATCTTGTTGTGGTTGTCTTAGTTGCTCTTTTGTCTTGTTTATGGCTGAATGACCCAATCTAGAATTATCCAATCTTCATTTTGTCCACCTAGTGGTTTGGTCGTTTTGGCCTTGCGAGCCTTAGAATCTCCTAGCAGTGGGTCAGCCTTCACTGTACTTTTCTTTTTTAGACCGTTGGATCTTCTTAAGATCTGTGCTGATAATTTTTTTATGTACACATTTTAGTTCCTTGATTCTCTTACTTGTCGAAAGAGACATTACAATAAGAATAATAAAATTTAATGTAAAAATAAATTGTATTCGACTTTAATTAATGTTTTATAATTGAACTCCCCTAATTTGGGCACCTTTGATTTTTATAAATAAGATACAATAGAACTCTTTCCTATTAATAATTTGCTCAACTTCTTTCTTCATTGGAGTTGGTTGGCTTCTGGGTGTTGCGATGAAGACCTTGTTTGTGATGTTCCTAACAAGAATCTGATTCACATCGCTTTCGAGAAACTACGGAGAAGGGATGTCCCGGAGGGTTGAAGAATAAAGAAAGTTGTTGTGAAGAAGAATAAGATGGTTGCACTCCGACCATCAGATTACATGGGATCATATGATTTGATCCTCGACACTAAGAGGAAAAGGCTTCAATCGACTGATCCGACCTTCGATTGGACTGTCCTACCTTCTGCTGCGGCATATGATCCTCTGGTGTTCCTGAATGCTCAAATGGCTTCTAATGACCTCCCACTGCTTTAATTGGTGCCCATCATGATGAGGGTGTTACTTTGATTATGATATTTCAGTGAAATAAACTCTTAAGTATAGAAGGTTGCAGTCTCATTTGTGGGATTTGATATTTTTTTTGAAGTTTTTTTGTTTTACGATATTTTATGTCTAGATAACCTAGCTTTCATAATCTTGGATGATGATTTGGCTCTAATTTGCATAAGTGAGAAACTGACTGGGGCACTAGTGATAGTAGATCAGGCACCGGTAGAGAGCGACCGACTCTCGAGGAAGGATGGTGGGGTTTTATCACCCTAGCGTTTTCCTTCTAAGATGTAGTAAATCATCTCATCGACTCAGAATGTCCCATGGGTTGCTTGCCCATTGTCAAGATGAAATTGAGAACTACTTTGCTTGGTCGGCAGGGATCTTGCAAGGTGAGGAGTTGCGTAAACTGTCGGCTCATGTGGTGAAGGTGGAGAGGATAGAAGAGGTGGTTGCGAATTTTCATTGAGAGTTGTCAAATTTTTAGGAGAGATCTTTGATGTTTATTTCTCAAACCAAGCAAGATCAACTGAGTTAATTTAGATCAAGAGGGGAGTTCTTGAATAGAAGGCTACTTTGGCTGAAGTATGTTTCGACCGAAGCGATGATGAAGCCCATTGTAAAATATTTTATCTCATACTAATTTTCAAGTGATTTTTTTAGTTTTAAGTGTTTTTTCTAGAATAAAAATATTTATCATCTCATTTTATAAGTTTATGTAATTTAGCTCTCATCTCATTATGGAAAAAGCCGTTGAGTCTCGTTTTTACCCTTGTGTGATGATTAAACTTTATTTATGTTCGAATATATTTAAAGAGCGTAGCATTCCGAGACAACACTTCCTCTTTATTTTTCCCTTTCGTTTATCCAGTCTTCTGGTTCTTTGCTCTGCTCGATGGCTCCTCAATACTCTCCATAAGATTTCTGATTTGGTCACCTTGAGCGATTAGTCATGGATGAAAAAAAGTGAAGTAGAGCTGTTGTACTTGAGTTAGGCCTTCAATCCTACCATCAAGCTCTAGGCCACCAATGAGTCAGATTGAGCTACATATTTATATTGTGTAACCTCCTGTTCTATAAAGTTTAATTTTGATTTGGTTTTAACTGTCACTCTTTCATGAGTTGTGTACCATCTTCACTAGCTACAAAAACACACTCACCAAAATAACTAAAAAGATATTGCAACCATTATGACCTAATCATGTTCTTATGGTGGCTGAGAATCATGTGATCCATTGACCTTATAATTCATTTGTTCTCATTTTGAGTCGGCTTAGATGTGTTTGTACAATTCTCTTATGTCATTAATTTTTAGCTATTGGGGATGAAAAACAAAGAGAAGGACAGGAGCCTTAATTCTATCTGGGTTCCTCCACATTGGGTGGTTCATCCAGACAGTCTACCTAACAAGCCACACCAAAAGTGAAGAGGAAAGCTTTTACTAGAGTGCTATTGGAGGATAAAAAAATCATTGGACACAAGCTATCAATCCCCTAATAGAGTGCTATAGCCCAACGCCTTCAGTGAGATGGTTAAAGAAGATTGGAAGACATCTGATGCCCATGAGGCTGAGCATGTGACAATGATGGCTACTTGTTCAGCCATGAAAATGGCCCACTTGGTAGCTTGTCTTAAGACTATTAAAGTGGTGAAAAAATTGGTGTTTAAGCTTGCTTTGGCTGAAGGGCTAGAAAGCTTGAAAAGTGTGAATATCGTATATTTTTTTTATATTTCAACTATTATTTTTCAAAGAATTATAATAGATTAGCTAATACTCACTGAAAGGCAATATTTTTTGCACCAAGTAAAAGTTCTCTCTGGGTTGCAAGTTTTCTGGATGCCTAAGAGAAGGATGCTAAAATGAAGGTGAGTTGCACAGAGTCAAGCCGTCATAAGGGGGAGGCTTTGGAGGAAATGCAGGAAGAAGGGCCCACCATCTCTTGGTCAGCCATTATGACATTAATTGAGCTATCCGAAAGGGATGAGCCCAGGTGCCTTTTGCCTTTTTTCTAGTGGACTGGCTAGATCATCTCAAGGGGAGCATCTAGCGAGGAAATCATTGAAGCATCCTTTAGAGTTGGATCAGACTAAGCCAATAAGCCAAGAGGAGCATCATCATGAGAGAAAGCCCTAAAAACTGAGTCAAACGAATTGGCTTCTGTGTTATCTCACAAGGGACCGCATTCAAGTGTATATTGATGCAAGCTAAGGAGTCAAAGCTGAGCATAACCTTGGATGGTATGTTTGGGCTGATAAACCTCTAAAGAGTCTGACTCTTATGTGGCACCTCGTTGTACCCTTCATGATAGCTAATATGATATGGTCTCTTGTCTTTAATGAAGCCTATTTAGAATATAACTTTGTTGCATTGTGTCAAAGATTGATATATATTATTTAATGATCTTGAAGGCTTCTCATATCCAACCAACCATCCTTCTTCAGAAGAACTAAGAATGATTGGTGATTGAGAAGAAGTTGGTTGAGACTGTGGAAATATTGAAGAAAGCTGAGACAAAGGTGCTCATGTAGTTGAAGCTACTTTTTGATACTTAAGAGGAAAACAAAATCATAGAAGATCGAATGGAAGCGATGAAGATTTTTAATGCATTTTTTTCCGAGGTGTCCTCCTATTCATCTCAGGTGGCTCTTCGTACAAAGAAGTTCAAAGATGGGGTCTCCTTTAGCCTTGGCCATCTACCAAAGGCTCATATTGTTTCTCTTGAATGGAATGATATGGGTATGTTTTTCATACTGATATATGACTCAGAGGAGGGTAGGACGAGAGAGATCAAGGCAATAGTGGGTCATTGAATATATAGTTGCTTTCGTTTTTTCTAGACTTTTACTTTGACTAATGTTCTGTCTAGCATTCTTATAAAAAAGGTGTCTGAATACTTGTAAGAAAATTTTTGTTTATGATTTTTTGGTCAATCACACCTTTGCTTTTGCATTTTACATTTGTTGGTATAATATTTTTCTCTCTATATTTTCATACTAAATGATCTGTGTTGTGATAAACCTGACTATGAGGATTGATGGGTCGGCCGGCTAAGAACATTTTTTGGTCAATCCACTGAGTTATTGCTCAAATTTAGTATTACACCACGCATGTCTTAGTAACTGAATTAAGTTATTTCCTTGAACAAACTTCATCTTATACCAGAAGTATTAACCAGACCTTGTAGAAATCTTCATAGGGGTAACAACCTAAACTCACTACTGGGGATTCACATGCTACCCACTCTGGATATTTCCACAAATGGGCAGAGAATCTTTATGCTAGAGCTTGACCCA